TGTATGTGTGTGTGTCCCCAACGAAAGAATCTCATGTTTATCATACGATAAATTATTACCTGATCGAATCACACACAAATCGAAATGGAAATGAAATTATCTACAACAGTGGAATAAATTATGAAAAGTTTTCTGTTTTGTTTTCGGTTTCGAACAATTACGAAGCAATTTTTTCAATTTCTCACCTTTCGGCTGATATATCCACATATGATGAAGTGATTGATAATCAATTTTTTTTACCGACAAATGACAGATCAAGACAATTTTCAATTTGATCAACAAAAAAAAATCAATTAACAGGTGAATTGTGATAATCGTCGGAAAAATTTGACATTTTTTCAATTAAATAAAATTCACACCTGTGCAATATACCTGTCAAAACATTTGATTATTATTCATTAAAAATATGACAAACGGATTTTGAAGGCGGACAAATTGGCAATTTTAATATATGTGAAACCTACGCACACTTGGTATACAAGATTTTAATCGGCAATAATTCTTTTCGTTTTGGAAAAAAAATGGAATCGTCAAATTGAAAATTTGACAAACAAAACACTGCTTGAAGGTATCGTACAAAAATACATCGAACCGAATCAATTTTTCGATTCTCAACACTTTCCAATTGCATGTTTGATGAACAGAACAACAACACTAGTTTGTTCCTAAACAATTTTGCAATCAATTGTTTTGTCGTCGTTGTCGTTTATCGTTTGTTGTTGTTCAACATTACACAATTCTTATTGAGACTGAATGAATCATTTTTTCCGCTTTGGGCATTTTTCATCTTATGCAATAGAATTGAGAATTCATGCAAAAATATTCTTCACTGATGATGATGATGATGATGATAATGAAATTCTGTATGTTTACTAGTTTATTTATTTATATATTTATATTTATATTTATTTGTATGATTATCTAATTTGATTTGATTATTGATGTTTGAATGAATAATAATAATGTTCATCATCATGTGTTATATGGGTGTATGTTATATATGAACGGATGAATAATCATCTCGCGAGCAAACTTTCAAAATAAAAAAAAAATCTTAATTTTTTGTATCAACAAAACATTATTATTTTGCCGTTGTTTGTTGTTGTTGTTGTTGTTATTATTATTATTATTATTGGAACATAAACGTTTGATGCATCGTTTTTTTTGCTTTCGACAAATTTTTCTAGAATCGATCACGCGCACATCCAATGAATATGGCATATCATCAATGAATGAATTCTGATCATTATCAAAGCACCACATGTGATCATATTATGTGCATTCTCTATTTATTAAATTGGATTATTAACACTGTGAATGATGCTAAAACATGCACACACACAGAGACACTCTTCAATAATTTCGGGACAAATTTCCAGATAAAAGATTCAGTTTTTTTTGAAAAAAATTGAATTTTTCTTTCTTTTTTGTTTGTTTTAAAATTTGCAAAGTTTTCAATACACACACACACACATGTGATCTCTCCCTTTCTTGTGATCTACAAAACACTGATTAGCCAAGACCAACACATGGGACAGTGATGAAAACGAAATTCAACATAACCCATATTCCTATCAAACAATTTCATCATCATTGACATTGAAAATTCTTGTTTTTTGTGGCCCAAAACTCAAAATCAACATCAACATCATTGTGATTTTATTTCCATTTTCATCTAAATCATCATTAAGACATTATAAGTATATTTTGATGTCAAACAAGCAGCATACATTACCAATTGTCGTTGCTATCTGGTTGGTTTTTACGCGCGTTTTAATGTAAGTTTATCCGTTTTTTTTTTTGTAATAAAATCAAAATGAATTCGTCCCCACATAATATACATGTTTGTGTGTGTGAAACCTGAATGATTTATTTCTTAAATTCTTTGTACAATAATAATAACAAGTTAATAGAATCGTAAAAAGCGAATGAATTCACTCTCTTTTTCCATGTTGAATGTAGTAACATAATTAGATTATATCCAGGGTAGAAAAAATTATGATTGAAAAATCATCATTATCATTTAACATAACATGCGAACAAGCTGTATGTATGAATGGAATGAAATGAAACATGACGAAAATGAACCGCATAATAATAATGATGATGCTGATGATGATGTGAAAACCGAAAAACGAGGAACCCATTTTTTTCACTCGTGTTCAATAAACGAAACATTGATAATCATAACCGAGCCATGTTTTTTCCGTTCGTTCCATATCGGACAATATTTTCAGGGTCCTGTATTTTCAGATTTTTGTTCGTTTCATGATAACGAAAATGAATGAATGAATGATGAGCAATTTTCAATAACAATTCAACAACGATAACTTTGCTTTTTTGAATTATTATTATGGCGAAAAACGAAAGAAAAATTCTTGAATTTAATTCACTTTCCGGAATTCATCATCATCATTTTCGAAGATGATGAGAATTTCAAGTCAATTTTTCGTCATTGAATCATGTCTGATATTAAAGATTTTTTTTTGTTGTATAATAAAAGCATTATGTAACATGATATTTTTCCGATATGGATAGGAAAATCGATTTTTTCGTTTCTTTTTCGATAATTTATTCCTCTGTTTTCAATAATAATGATTTTTCTTTTTTTTTCTCAACTTTTTTTTTGGTTTGAAAAAATAATCGGAAATTTCCCTGAGAACATTGGTTAAAAAAAACTTTTCATCCAATGATCATCATTGGAAATTCCATTTCCGTTCATTGAAATTTGATTGCAAATTGCAGGAAATAAATTTAGAAATTCCACCACTAAATTCACAACGAGAGATGGTCATCATTGATTTCCGAGTAGTTTAAGGGGGTTTTTCGGAAATGTTTCATCACTCAATGAAAGTATTGACATTCAAAAATTCAATGCTGATACACGATTGTTCAATGACCACCACCAACCAACAATAGGCAACAAAACAGCCGTAACTAACTAATATTGTGTGATCCAATAGCAATCCAATAATAATCATCATTATTATTATAATCTATAAACCAAGTATTAATAACTGTCTGTGTGTGTGTGTGTTTGTATGTTGCAAGCAAGAGAAAAAACCCTAATGAAAATCAATTAATACAGTGCTAAATGATTTATAAATGTTAATATAATATAACCCCTGATAACTTACTATGGCTTAACCGTTATATAACGAATATTAATAACCGTACTCCTCCATGATCCAAAGATTATTATTTTTATCATCTACCAACGAGAAAAAACGGACAAATTCTTTTGCTACAACCACAACAACAACAACAACAACACGATCATAATCATAATAATCATCATTGAAATTTTATTTTTTTGTTTTTCACAATAATCTCATTTACATAATCATCATCATCATTGTGTGTATCTGCATATATACACTTTTCTGGTATCAATTTTTTTCTGGTTCGTTTTTTTTCATCGGTATGTAGCGATATATTTCTATGCCCAGTTGGTGGTGTATTCGTTTTCAGGTTTTCGTGTCTGTGTCTGTGTCTGTATGTGTGTGTGTAAAGTTAATTGTCACGAAGTGATGATAATGGATTAATATTTGGTTCAATGGTTTTTTTTTCGTCCACACAAACACAACACAAAATACAATGAACTTGTAACAATAAAAAAAAATTACTGTTGTTGTTGGTGGTATTGGTGGTGGTGGTGGTGATGGTCAGTGAAAATAATCAAAATTTATTATCGTTATGGGCCACATTTTTTTCGTTATTTCTATTTCGGTGAAAGTTTCATGTTGAAAAATACGAATTTTTGAATCCAATTGACCACGAACTACTACCACTGACACCGCAATTTTCATCCTCATCATCATCATTATGGACAGGAAATGAATGTATTTTTGATTTTTTTTCTCTCTATTGAAACTGAAAATGGAAATTATATTATCGATTATGGTTGTAGTCGGTAAATGTAGAAATAGAAATTTGTTTTTTGTCGTTGGGAGAATTTTTTTCTCTACTTTCCATCATCATTTATCAATCGATCAATAGAACATTCTGATTCTATCGCTTTTGTGTGTGTGTGTGATTCATAATAAAAGCAGAATTTCATTTCTTTCATCATCTATGTTTTTTTTTTTCATAGATCAGGTACAACGAAATTCCATTATAATAATTCGATATTATGATGATGATGATTCAATAGCTTGTTTGTTTGTTTTTGATTAGGTTTGATTTTTCATACGAATTTGTTTGAGATACGAAGATACAAGCAGGTTGGAGTTGGCATTGTTGTTGTAAATCCATATTCCATCTGTTCATTCGGAATCGAAATCAATTTTGCCATTTGAAGTGATGAATTTTTTTTTCATCAAACCAATCTTTCAATTTGAAAAAAACGTTTGATTCATTGTAGAATGGACAGAAAGTTTTTCTATTTCACTTTTACCAAATACTTCCTCCGAGGATTTGTCGAAAGTTTTATTTTTAGAGCCAATTTATTGTTTTTTTTTTCGTTGTTCATCAAATTCTTGCTCATCCGTTGTTTGTGAACATTGATGATGATGATTGTTGTTGTTGATTTCTCTTGAGTGTTATGTTTGGGTTCCAAATTCTTTTAAATCATTATTTTCTTTCATTTGGAGAATAACAAAGAAAAAAAAGTTATCACTCTAGTTTATCAGATAAGAAAAAGCTTAAATGAGTTCGATTCGATTCGAATTATCTTCCTGGACCAATTTGTGATTTCAAATCCTGGTCAATGTGTATGGTTTATATTCTATGATTGGCTCTGTTCAAATCGATTTTTTTACCAATACTTTCAAAGCTTGAAAACAAACAAACATCCGTCCGAATCGCACGTGTTTCAATCACCAGCAACATCACGTTGTGTGTGATTGAATCTCACGGGTATTCATTAGCAGCTAAACGAAAACTTTTGATTAATAACTGAGTTATGTTTTGATTAACATTAGAAATGAAAAAACTTTTTCCTGGTGGCTGTTCATTCAATTTTATTTTTCGAAACAAAAATCAATTCTCTTAAGTCAATATTGATTTTGTTGTTTTTTTACTTTGGATAAAAAATAAAGAGATAGAAGAAAAAAGAAAATTATAAAAAACATAATGATTGCACGTAAGGGTGTATTATCGTGCCATTGTGACCGTTGTTGCCATTTTATCATTCACTGTGAACGTTTTGATTCAATCCAATCGACAAAATTACCAACACGTGTATAGACACCTGGATAACCTTTACGTGCACAACCATAACCCCATGAAACAATACCAACAATTTGTTTAGTGGCAATATCAACAACTGGTCCGCCAGAATCACCTTGACATGAATCAACACCACCATTAGCGACATCACCGCCGCAAATCATATTTTCACTAACATCGGCGCCTGCTTTTGAATATAATTGGTCACATTGTTCACGTGATACAACATCAATATCAACACGTTGTAATTCCGATGGTAATGAATAACTTCCTTCCTGAAGATAACCCCAACCAGAAACACGAATTTTATCACCAACTTTTACATCTGATCCTTGTGCTGGCAATGGTACGGGTTTAGCATTTGTTTGATCCAATGTCATTGGTGTTTTGAGTTTTATCAATGCAACATCATTATCGATAGTCATGCTATCATAATTTTCGTGTTGATAAATTTCCGCCACTTGAATCTTTTCACCACCAGATGCATGTTTAAGAGTATTGTAACGAATTGAAAGTTTTTTTGCTGATTGTCTATGGTTTTTTGTGCGAGAATGATTTATCAAGTCAAAAATTTACAAAAAAAAACTTACCCATTGACACAATGTGCAGCGGTCAAGATCCAATATTCATCCAGGATACTACCACCACAAAAATGGCTGCTTGATTGCAAGGAAATTTGATATGGACAATCACCGGCTTGTGCTTTCACACCACCAACAATAGTTGCATTTGGTGATGATGGAAGAATCGGTGTGGCCCAAGTGTTTGCAGCCAATAACACGACAATGGTAAGAATCATCATCTTGGTTCGATTTCAATATATGATTTATTTGTTAATTTGAAAAATTGATTATGATGCTTGCCAAAGAAAAATCGTTGTGCTTTTATACCAAATTTTTGTTTTTTTTCTTTCTTTTAATTGTTATGACTATACGATACCACCAGGTTTGTGTTTGTTTGTGCGTGTGATGATAATGTTGATTATCTTTATTGTCATCATTTTCATTATATGGTAATGATTGTGTGCGATGTGCAAAAAAATTTAAAATTAATTTATTATTATTATTATTTCCAGATGCTTGACAATCATAAATCAATGAATCCTTTGGTATTTTATCAGTGTTATTAAAATTTACGTGCAATAAACTCAAAAATTGTTATTGGAGTAGGGTAGTAGTTGTCGATGACGTTGTCAATTTCAAATGAAAAAAAAATAAAAATTTCAATCGACATGCAATTATGATGATGATTAGTGATAATAACCTAAATTGAATTTTTTATTATTTTTTTCGATTTCAAATTCAATTTGCAGCATATGATGTAGACATCATGCACACATTTGTGTCCGGTATCATAATTTTTGGAAAAAACAAATTTAAATTAAACCGACTTGTTCAGTTGATAAACCATAGAATAAATTGTGTTTAGATTTAATCAAAAAACCAGAAAAACAGCAGCTAATGAATCGGCTAACTAGCTTTCTACTATAGCACATCATCAATGATGATGATGATGATGATGCGATTAAAATAAACCACCAAAACCAAACAGAAAAACAATTCGAATCAACAACGACAGTTTGATTTTCCCAATCCCAATCGAATTCACAGCTGATGATTACAATGATGAAAATGGTCGTTTGAACGGTCGGTCGGTTAATTCAATTGTGGTATTATCAGGCAGGAATTTTTTTCATTTTCTCTTGCCCGACACACACACACGCGCTAAGTTTTGTTTGGTGAAAAAACCAAGATTTCAATCATCATCATCATCATCATAATGATCAGGAAATCAACTTTGTAACGAACACAGAATAAGTATAGACAATTCTATTCGAGAATGGAATGATCCAAAACCGAAAAAATTGAAAAACTTTTTCTGTTCATCTTCATCCTAAAATTGATTGCAAATGATATCGATGAATAAGCATTTGACATTTGATTACACCTGTATAAATCTTTTCAAAGTTTGATGATGACGGATAAATAATTGGATTTCTTTGCTTTTCACGTTATTTCAATTTTCCATCGATTGAGAAAAGATATCTTATTCATTTTGCTGTTTTAGAATTCAATTGATTCAATTGAAAATGAATGTTCCAGAAAGAGCGAATATTCTCATTCAAAAGGAATGGAATTCAATGAATGATTCAGAATCCATTATGACACGACGACAGTCACTGTTCGTGATGTGATTAGGAATTTTTTTTTCGTTTTCAAGTAAAAAAAAGACAAACTTTTTTTATCAGAAACACTTTCTTTAAAAATCGTAAAATGAAAAAAGTGTTTCAAATTCAATGCATTGTTCTTGTTGTTGTTGTTGTTCTTGTTTGAAATCAAACAAAGAATGATGATCAGTGCTTTTGCCAAAACGAAAAACAATTCTGTGTTTGTTGAGTGTTTTCATCAATTTTACAAAAGTTTTAGATGAATAAAACATTTATACTCAGATTTCCCTTCATAAATCTTTTTGTCTTTTTTTTTCTCTGGTCAAAGTGAATGAATGGACAATTTTTCAAAATTTTTATTTTTAGAACATACCTTGGTGGTCTAAAACAAGAAAAATTAATTATCACAAATTCAGCATCATGGATTATGACATAATTTCCTTTTTATGATTATGATCAACAACTGACTCGATTGATGATGATCAGTTTGTTGTTTTTACTTATTTTTATCGAACTATCGATTTATTAATCAGAGTCATTCATTAAATAGAGATTTAGAAACATTAACATTACATGAATAGCTAACAAACGTAAAACGATAAAATGAATCAATTTACAACAAGTTTCTGAATGATGATGATGATTAACAACCTTTGAAATAATCATCGATTCATTCATGTCTATTAATTAATTGATATACGATAAATATGTGATTCGATTATTGATTAATTAATTTGACTTTTTTTTCTAATCATCGTTATTTTTATTTCCAAATGTTTCAATTTCCAGTGTTGACCAATAGATGGCCACACCTGTATTTGTATGATATTTTTTCATTCCATTACTCTTTTGATTGACGGTTTTTTTTATTGATCAGGTTAATTTGATTCCATTTGTTATTATTGCTGCCAATGAGGATTAGAATCAAAATAAAGAAATTGATCTATTGAGTAAATGGCGATGTAATTTTTTTTTTGCTACTGTATAATGATGGCAACTGCCGTTATTTTAAAATTGAAAATTTTTTTCCATGTTGAAAACAACAACAACAAAATCTGAATAAAATTTGCATTTTTCAATATTATTTTCGAATCAATCAATTGGATTTAAAAATGAGAAACCATAAAACAACAACAATTTTATTGGTGAAAAAAATGAACAAGAAAATTCGTTGTAAAAATAATGAATGCTCGTCGATATCGATATTTTTGTCTATTCAAAAATGGACCAATATTATTCACCCAAAAACGGGAAAAAATACGGTTATTATTACCATCATTTATAATGATTGTAAATGACTTTTTGTTGTTGTTTTGTTTTATTTGAAAAAAACTCGTGAAAATTTGAATGAAAAAATTATTAGGATGATGACGATGGACAATGGCTCGAATAAAACGAGGTTAAATTAGTCAAGTTTTTTTTCTTCTATTCCATTTTGTTGCTACTGTGCTTTGCATTTTTTTCCATTTTTATCATCAATTTGAGTTTTATTTTCCGTTTTTTTTCCTATTCACTCATTCAATTCAGGTAGTTTTTTTGTGTGAAAATGAAATGACTACAATACTACAAGATGTGAAAATTAACCTGAAAACATTTTTTGTATTGAAATTGCATCTTTGAATTGTTGAAAATACATTCAATTGAATCCGATGTTGTAATTATCATCATCGACATGATGATTATGTTTGAAAAAAGTGATTAGTAATTAGCAATAAATCATTAATACCTGTCATCATCATCACAGAGATACACAACGATTGTGTGCGTAGTGTGTTGAACAAAGATTGTAAACAGAAAAATCGTAGATTTTATCTATGGATAATGATTGCATACATCGATTATATTTGTTTCTTATTTTGGTTTATAAAATTTTCGTAAACAAATGCTGGTTGATGATGATGGTTGTGTTCAAACAGTCAATTTTTTTTTTTTTTTTTTTGTTGCTAAAATCCAATTGATCCATTTAATTTTTTTTTCGATAGATATAATGGACAATCAGACAAAGTCTAAAGCGCCTAAAGTTTTGATCAATTTAACGCACTCACACGCACACAAATGGCTACTAGCCATCATCATCATCATTGTTATTATCGACAATAATTTGATTCAAATGTAAATGTTGTAAAAGAGAAAATTTTCAAAATTTTTTCCCTTCAAATTCTCTTTGTCATTGGATTTTTGTCTTTGTTTTTGTTTGTCTCAATAAAAGGTCGATTGGATTCTTGTTAATCCAGAACGGATTATCCTCGTGTTTATTGAACACGATGATTTGTAACTTGTGTAATAATAATGACAATCATACATACATCTACACTGTGTGTGTATGTATGTCTAGTGGATCGATCAATAATTATTTCAGTTAATTTTTTAGTTTAAAATTACTAACTAAACGAATAAAAATGATAATTCATGATTATTATTGACGAAAATCGATCATGTCAGATAGACAGACAGTAGTTTTTTCCCTCTGAACAATAATCAATAATTTTTTCTTTCTTTCCTTCTCACATCATCATCATAATTACTGATTATTGATTGACTGGAAGCGGGGCATGAATGAAAAAATTATAATTTTTTTAAAATTTAAAAAATTTTCTTTTCCACTTGATTATTTCGATTTATTTTGAATCATTTCGTTGATGAATGATGAATGTAATCTATACTACTACACATGGATAGATAAATTGCATATTGATTTTTTTCTGTTTGTTTGTTTGTTTTTCTTTCTTGTTCTCTTTTTTTGGCCATACAACTAAAAAATATGAAATGTACATGGACAAATTACAAATGCAACAATGTTCTCTAAGGGCAACGATGAGAAAAAAAATCAAAATTCAATTGATTTCAATAATAAACGAGGATAATTATCATTGCCATCAACATCATCATCATCGATATGCTTGCTTGTTTGTCATTTTGTGTGTGTGTGTATGTGTGTTTCAGATTGTTTTATTTTCACGCTTTATTTCTCTATTCGAGACAAATTGACATCAGTAATGCTTAATGATAACTGTACAGGTCATTGGATTGAATCAGAAAAATTTGAATTTGCATTTGAATTTCGTTTTGTTTTTTTTTTTTTTTTTGGGTTCCAGTAGTCTTTTTTGTTTTGTTACAAAATCCGATTGTATTTGAATCATGATATTTAATATTTGTAAATCAAAAATGTCTCATATCGAATTGTTTGGCCCGATTTATTTTTGATTGTGTATGTGTATCGAATTGAGATTGAAATAAAGAAAATAGTCCAATTGTCAATGGTTTTCGACATGAACGACAAACTCGGACATTGGTCAATCAATCGATCATTAAATGCAACAAAAAGTTGTTGTGGTTGTTATTGTTTCCAATCTGATCATTAAATATTTCATGTTTTTGCAAAAATCCTCATCATTCAAATGCATTCAAATTCGATTGATTTGTTATTAATGATTGTGTTGTCTAAATGTCATCATATCATCATTTTATATAATAATGGCTAATTGTTTCTTTTTTGGTTTTCACATAATTCAAATGGAAGAAAAATATTTTCCAATTCAAAAATCAAATTGTAAATTATCCATATCATATTTTTTAAAAAAAAATTACAGATCAATCTCTCAATTCATTTTCATGTGAAATATTTCATTCGATTTTTTTTCGATCAAATCAAATTGAAAATGGATTGGCTGTTGTATCAAATATCGAATGA